GAGGTGGAGGGAGGAGGGAGGGAGGAGGGAGGAGGGAGGAGGGAGGAAGGAGTAGAGAGGAGGGGGGAGGGAGGAGGGGGGAGCTCGCCGGTGTCAGCTAGATCCGGGGCCCGTGAGGGGCACCAGACCCTCGTGCTCCAAGCCCTCGTCCTCGTGAGCAGCGCCCGGCTTCGAGAGGGCGTGCCCGCGCCCGTGTGGCGCAGCTTGATGTTCACCACGCACCAAACCACCCCAACCCAACCCGAAGGCCTCAATTTGCCCTCCACTTCCAGTGGAGGGGGCTCGGGGAACATATGGACAAGCACATGGACCCCCCCCCACCCGAAATTCGGGTCAAATTCGGGTCTTCGGGTTGGGTTGGGGTGGTCTGGTAGGTGGTCAGATGTAGTGCGATGCGCGTGCGGTGGCCCCCACACAGAGCACCGCCCGAAGGATACCGGGCGGTGCTCTGTGTGGGGCCCTCGCCTGCAAAGATCGAAGGAGTTGCCATCCCTTCCGCGGCGGAAGGCGGCAGAAGTAAAACAAGGCCACATCCGCCGGCTGAAACCAGCGGAAGGCCGGCGGAAGCCGGCGGAAGTAAAAATCGGGCGCCCAAGGGACGGCAACATTTTTGGGTTCGCTCCAGCCTCAGAGCACTACCCATAGGGCACCAGGCTAAGATCGAGGAGTCGCAGCCACTAGTTCATCATGAGCAGGACGCCAGCCAGAGGGCACCAACCGCAGGACCTCAGGGAAAGGACGAGCAGCCCAAACCGAAGATTGCACCAGCTGTGGGGCACCACTCGCAGGGCGCCAGGGCAAGAGCGAGAACACGCGCCAGAGTAAGGCACCCACCATCGAGCACATTAACCACAGGGCACCCGGGCAAGAACGAGAAGTCGCGGCCTCATAGTGCACCAGCCAGCTGTAGAGCTATAGAGCACTAGGGCAATAACGACAACACGCCACGTAAGAGTACACCAGCTGTGGAACACCACCGATGGGGCACCAGGGCCAGGAGGAGAACCCGCGACTCTCATATTGCACCGGCCACAGAGCACAACCCACAGGGCACCACGCAACGGGCACCAGGGCAAGAGAGAGAACCCCTAGCCTCACACCGCACTGGCCATCGGGCACCAAACAGAGGACAACAGGGCAGGAACGACAACACACGACTTCATAGTGAACCTGCCGTAGAGCACCACGCACAGAGCCCCAGAGCAGGAGCAGGAGGGAGCGCTCGCGACACGACCGCGCACCAGCCATAGAGCACGCAGCAGGGCACGAAGGAGAACGCGCGACATCATAGCGCACCAGCCATCGAGCAACACACACACAGGGTACCTGGGCAAGAGCGAGAACACGCGACCGAATGATGCACCAGACACAGAGCACTGCCAAAAAAAGAGCACTACCCATGGGGCACCGGGGCAAGAAAAACAAACTTGCGCGACCGTACAGTGCCCTCGCCAAACAGAGCCACCAGAAGGGCACCGTGGCAAGAAGGATGACCCACGACTTCGCACTGCCCAAGCTGTCGAGCACCACCCAAACGGCACCAGGGCAAGAACGAGAATGCGCGACCGAACCGAATAGTGCATTCCCCATAGAGCCCACTGGGCACTGCCAACTCGGCACCAGGGCAAGACCAGAAACTCGCGAAATCACAGTGCACCAGCCGCACACGTGCACACGGGTAAGATCGATGACCCACGACCTAGTTGTGCCCGATATATGTGTGTATATCTGTATGTACATATATATATACAGAGAGAGAGAGGGAGAGAGAGAGAGAGTCACTGTTTCCGATACCCACTATCTATGAGGTTTCGCGAGCCCGCTGCAGAGCACTCTGAAGAAGAGTGGCGGCCAACCTGGGTGCTGTGAGCGCCGCTTGGGCACCCAGGCTACTCTGAAAAGGCTCGAGCATGAGCGACGACGGCACGGACAGTTGGGGGAAAGGAGATGGGAACCTTGGGGAATGCTGGACTCTTAAGGGTGGGTTGAAAGAGAGAGAGAGAGAGAGAGAGAGAGAGAGAGAGAGTCCCATCCGAAGGATCTCCTTCAAAGGCGCGCCCGACACTGTGGCTGGCAGGCTCGGGGAGGTGAGGTGGTGAGGTGCTGAGAGGACGAGGGGGGGTAGTGCACAGCCTCCTCGGCGGGGCGGAACAGGCTCCGCCAGGTCGGCTGCTCACGCCATGCCTGCCCCATCTGTGGTGTCGCCGTTGAGGTACAGCTCACCCGCCTACTGGCACAAGACAGGGATCAAGGGGCCAAGCGGTGCCTCCCTGCCCCACACCAGGGGTACAGCCTAGGGTGTGTGACGGGCTTGGCCACGTAAGGCCTCGATCACAAGACAAACACGGCGGGGCGTGTGCAGGGGGAGGGGGAGGAGGAGGGCGACGTGAAGGATCAGAAGTGATAAGTTGGACGGGGACGAGGAGGGGGGGAGGGACCGTAGGCTGCAAAGTCAGCCCTCATCTGAAACCAACTAGCTTCCCAAAGATGAAAGATTGGCCTCAGGCGGGAGAGCGTCACGCACGCGGGGCCTACGGGGCCTCTGAAGGAGTCTCTGGGGGTCCACGCCCGTGGTACGAGAGAAAGCGGATGAAATTGCAACCCCTACTAGGCCTGACACACACGACTGCACTAGTGCTGCCTCACTACTTGAGAACACTGAGAAGGGGAGCTCCAACGAGTTGAATACAAACTGGATGCCTTGCGCCTCCCGTACGTGGCTCCAATTGAGAAGCCAGTACGCCTTCAGCACCTCGTAGTGGCGGTAGCTGGACGACGGCATCCACACATTGATAGTAACTCCCAACGTTATGCCAATGATGAAAAAGATCAACACATAACCACGAAACGTATGTAAAGAGATCCACACTTCATCACAACCCTCTGGCATCTGATGGTCAGTATCATACGGTGTCTGCAAATCTTGTTGGTATTCTCAGCCTATCCGCCCGAGGACCACGTCAATAAGAGAACTTACTTTATCCTTGTGGCTCGTTGGAATTTGTTTCCGTGGCAAATGGCTCCGCAGCACCTTGTTCGCGTTGGCAGTGGCCACCTTGTCATCTTTCAGCGCCTTGACGAGAACACCCTCGACCATGTTCCTCTCCCCGGTGGCAGGGAGCTTGGTCTTCGTGCCGACCACCGCCTGTAGCCACCCGAGCTCCGCACGTGAGAACTCCTTCTTCTCGTCGTTCTTGGGCGGGGTCGGGCTCTCCGCTCGTGGTGTCAACGGGCATTCCCGTGGGCCTAGCTGCTTCTTGAGCTCATCCGTCTGCGCCGTGAATGCACTGCGTAGAGCTGCCGCAACATACTCGCCCTGCTTGCGAAGCTCCGTCTCCTTCTGGCGGCACTTGAGGTCATGCTGGTATGCGGCGTACTCCTTGTCTACCGCGGCCAGGGACTTGCGGAGCTCCTCGAGCTCCTTCTCGGACGGACGGTCGCTGTGACTACGCTTCTGGCGGTCACGCGAGCCTGGGCGGCGGCTCGTGTCCCGTGACCTCCGCTCTCGGGATCGTGGAGACTCGGAGCTGTCATCTCGTCGTCGATCCTTTCGATCACGTGAGTCACGACGGCGGTCACGGTCCCGATCACGGTCCCCACGACTATCCTTGTAGCGGTCACGATCTCGGTTGCGATCGTGCTTGTCCTCCTTGTAGCGGTCATCCCTGTCCCTGTCGTACTTGTCGTACTTGCTGCGGTCGTAGCCACGATCGTAGTTCCAGGAGCCTCCCTGCCAACCACGCCGACCTCCACTGCTCATGGCCGCCGCACTGGTGTGGCGGAAGTGGTGGCGCCAGACTCGCAGGACCGCTCGCACCCTTTGAGCAGAAACGCTCCACGGTGTAGCATGGGCAACAGCAATGATGAGGTCGAAAGGGTAGTGGAGGAGGATCAACTCAAGGACCAGCTCTAGGGCCCACGCTGTCGTGGCACCAATCGTCAGCGACAGGAATTGAGCCCTGGCATACCTGGATGTGAACAACGAGACCAACATGCCAAACTTCCTGGGCGGCAGCCCTGGCCACTCAATGATATTGGACTTGGCCCGCTTCTCCTCCAAGCCCTGCAGCCACGGCCGATTGGGATTCTTGGGGAGTACGAGGACCTGGTCCTGGACCGCGCGGAGCTCTAGGTCGACCCAGACGCAGGACTCCTCAGGGCCCTCGAGGGGCGACGCGGGGCTGAGCCTGATGGGGTAGACCTGGCATAGGTAGTTATGTGTACACTGTCGGCAGTAGTGAGTACTCATCCCAAGGATGTCGTCTACGTATCTACGCTGTCCTACTGGTAATTCATGGAGCCCAGGGGGAGGACGAAACCCTGCGGAGCCCAGCCGAGGTAAATCCATAAGAGCCTTGTATTCATACCAGCACATAAGTACCGATAGGGCAACTCCAGAAAGCACGCCACCTATCGGGAGTCCACGCATTTCATACATAATACCTCCCAACGATACAAGAGAAATCCAGGAGAACGCAATCAACGCACGATGAATATCGGTAACTGAAACTTTAAACCATCCTGGTGGGGTCGATCCTGTCCAGGGACGTGTGCGGGGCGTGCGGGACTGGCTAACCAGCGTGGAAGCAACTCCAAGGGTGTCAACTATCTTGGTTGCTACTTCCGTCCAGGCCTGAGCAATCGTACCAGAATCGCACTGCTCAAAGGCTTGGTCCGCATCTACAACCACAAGCGTGAGATTTCGCATGGCAGATCCACAACACGTGCATGAGGAAGAGATCTCTTGAGGGAGGGACTTCCGAAGTGATCTGACCTCGTCAGCTGCATGATTGAGGTTGAAAACCTCACAACTCAACCCAGAACGATGTAGGAGATCTCGGACCGCCCTGCCTATTATCTGGAAGCCTCTGGAGCCAGGTGCCTCTGAGCAATTTATGACCCTTCTCATGCAACTGTGGAGCGGCTTCTGGCAAATCTTCTGGCCCGATGGGGTGAAGCATTTTCCTTTTACAGTCGGGAAAACGTACGGTGGGCGGGTTGTAGCCGTGGGCGGCGGCATGTAGCGCCGCGTGAGGAGCCACGGGGGCAGAGCCGCAACTGCTCGGCCCCACATCCATACTGCAGCATCTCGAGGGGAAATATCCAGCCGCAACTTCCAATCTGGGTCCGCCATGGCCAGCTGGTGGAGGTACCTGATCATGTCACATCCGTCGCAGGCCCAAACCTTATCACACTCTTTGTCATCGGAAATGATGACGCACTCGTTGTTGTCGGCAAGGGTCTGCTGCATTGTGGTCTCCATCTGGTTCCACACGTCGGGTGGTGCTGGTGGAGTAATCCACCTTCGGGAAACCCAATGACGAAGGTGTCGGAGCCCACGTCGAAGTACCTGGGGTGGTAGACGTGCTCGTTGAGCCCACTGGTGGAGAGCAATCGATGCCTCGCGGATGGCGCGTCTCGGTCTTGGCCACACTGGTAGTCTCCACGGTCCAGCCAATCGGCTAAGCCTCCATGGTGCCGATGGTGAACCTTCTGGCATATGTGGTAGTGCCTCCGTCTCAAATGTCGCACAAAACCTGCTGGCTGACACATGATCTTTCCAACAACGTTGCTTCTGAAAGACGGCCCTTGGTGGTCGGGCATATATCTCTCTCGTCGGTGCATACCTCATTGACTTTCCCATCTGCTGAACTGCTGATGCTACCCACTGTCCATATCGTTTATCTTGAAACCCAGCGGGTAGTCGCACGGCTGGGCGTCTTGCAGAAGGTAGTCGTAGCCGCCTGAGGTGCAGGTCCAGGTGGTGGTGTGCCATCCTTTGCCTATGAAACGATCTCAGGAACAGGTCGGCCATGGAGGCTGCACGGTACAGGTGGAAGCCGATCTCGTTCCTGGTCATGTACTGCATAAGGGGAAGCTCCTGCCACTTAGCCGCCAGGAAGGCCAACAGTAGACCAACACGCTTGTCGTCGAACAGCCATAGCGGGCCCTCCTGGCCAGTGAGGATATGCTCCTCGGCCTGCTGGAGGCGATACAACGTTGCAAAGGGTGCCGCCTCTGAGAGGGCACCTGGATACTTTGTCTCGAATGAGGTCCCGCTGCTGGCGGTTGGCACTGTGTGTTCGTCCGAGTCTGGCATCGTAGAGGTCCAGGTAGGCGCCGTTGTCCGCGACCTTGGACCCCGTCTCCATGAAGGTGGTCTCCTACGCTGGCATCTCCGTGTTCGTTGCATCGCATGTAGATCGCCCTGGGCTCGACGGCGGCTCACCGCCTCCGATTCCAATGCATCTGCTTGGTTGCAGGAGGGGTTGTGCCTTCTGATCGCGAGAGTCTCATAGTGGAAACTGGCACGCTCAGAGCGGACCAAAAGAATCGGCAGGAAAAATAACGAGCCCACACTCTTCCGTAGAAGGCGGTATCTTGGCCGTCTGCCTGGGCCATGCCGAGGGTGGAGGACAGCACGGATGTGCTCGGCAACACGTCCTAGGAGGCCTGGGAGAGGCCCTGTACGTAGCGAGGCCTTCCCTACATAGAGGCCCGAGTGGCTGCCCATAGCATACACGACGGCCATGAACGGCCCAGTCGGCGGACCAAGAAAGCACTGGAGGAGGGATAGGATGAGAGGGTCTTCCCATCGCTGGAGGGCGACTCTGAAGTCAGGGGCTAGGAGTCCTTCGAGCTTCCTTGCCCATCGGGGAATATGTCGCTGGCTCAGTGCACGTCTGAGCCGAAGAATGCCAATCATGAAAAGTGCCGTTCCTATTGTGCTCCAAAGGTAAACGCCTCGGAACGGTCGGAAATGTGGTGCAGGTCGGCCTGCTACGTACTCAACAAGGGTCGCTAAAACACTGGAAATTCTCGCAATGGCATGCCGATGATATCTTTGCTGCCACATCCACACTCGGAGGGTACTTGCTGCCTCCCCCTGCGGTATCCTCGCGCTCTTGGCAAGGATGGAGTCTAGAAACGTGTGAACAAAATTGTGGTCCTTATAACGTGCTACTGCGAGGGGCCATCGGACCATTGGCCGCTCGACTGCCTCTTCGGCCTCTAGGAGGCCGACGACCAGAGACTGGCGGACGAAGAGGTCGAGCTGCTGAGCCCGGTGGCTGCGTCCGTCATCGCCTGGTAGTCCCTCGCATGCTCCTCGGCGATGGCCCTGTGGTAGCTCGCCTGCAGCATCTGGCTCCATGAGTAGAAATAATCGTGAAGGCTCACACAGGACAACTGAGATTGCACAACCCAACCTGGCCGTGTCCCAATATACTGCACAATAAGAATACGTATCTCTCCAATGGTAAGTAAGTCCTCAATAAATGCTGGTCCACTGTGTGGTCGTAGTGCCATAGTAGATGCCAGTCCGTCCACTTGAAGAACAATATATGGAGGTGTCGTCGTCGTCAGTACGCCTGAAGACCAATATATGAAGGTAACGCCAGCGCCCCGCAGGGAGGTGGTGCCTGAACCTTGATCACCCGTCGCCACCCTTGGGGGCCGTGTCAGACCAAGTTGTGAGAGAGTCACTGTTTCCGATACCCA